GCAGGATGAGGCAGGCCCCCAACCCTGGCGGCTGGGTGCTGGGTGCAACCGGCCATGCCTAACCCATGCCTGGCCTCACCATCTGCTCCCAAGGTGCAGCAAGGTGCAGCTCCAACTCCATGCTCTGCTGCAGCGTCCCGCGGGCCGTGTCCCAGATCCTCTCCCAGCACTGTGGGTGCTCCCCGGCCACCTGCCCACAGCTGTGGGGACATGAGGTGGGCAGGACGGTGCCAGGACACCAGCACCTGCTCCCCCAGCCTGCCCGCAGGGCTGGGCCCCAGCTCGCCCCATGCCAGGGCTCCCCCTCGCCTGCTGCCCCCCAGCACAGGGGGTTCAGCCCCTGGGGCTCCCTTTGCCGGCTCCACCTCTCCAGCAGCCTTGCACAGGCGCTCCCCTTTGCCAGGACCTGCAACCAAAGCAACATATTTGGGGGGTCCGGGGTTTAACCCGCATGAGGGGGACGTTGTGCCCCGCTGTCCTCAACTGCTGCCGGAAGCCCCAGGACAGCCACTTCCCCAACCCCTGCCCCTGCCCCCATCTCCTGCCACAGCAAGGGCGTCTGGCCGCTTGCCACTGCTGGTGCCACAGGGACCCCGCAACCACCCTCTGCACCAGCCACACCATTAACAGCATCCCAGCTACTGTGGCAGCAGCACAGGGATGGTCCTGGATCTGGCAGGGAAGGGCTCCCCGCAGTCAGAGGCTGATGGCATGCATCCTGCTCAGGGTAACTGTCATTTTATTAAACAGCAGTTAAAAAGAGTGCAGAGGCCCAGGCAAGGGGCAGGGGTCCCCACCCCGTGCGGTACACGCTGCAGTGACTGGTGCAGAGGCCCAGGCGAGGGGCAGGGGTCCCCGCCCCATGCGGTACACGCTGCAGTGACTGGTGAGCAGCAGGTGCTGCCGTCGGCCTGGCAGGACACAGACGTCAAGTTGGGGGCTGCGAGCTTTCACCCCCGGGGGCTCGGCAGCTGCTGGCACGTGAGGCGCTGGTGAGAGTGGGAGGAAACACCCCCTTGGCAGGACAGACAGGACGTTTGAAGCTGGTATTTGTCTGCCCGAGACGTCCCCAAATGCCCAGTTGCAGGAGAAAGAGTAAAAACCACAGCCCAAAGAGGGACCTCAGCTACGGCAGCTGAGAACTGGCCACCAAACTATTTACACTCTGTCCAGGCACCCTGGTGCACAGCCCGGGCACACAGGCAGCCTGGGCATGCCTGGCTCAGAGTAGCAGGCAGCAATGGTGCCACAGGGAAAAGAAGAGCATTCACCCTTTGGAAAGAACAGATGAGTGGCTCCAGAGCCCGAGACCCACACAGACAAGACAGACAGACAGCATCAGCCCCGCCGGCCATCATGGGGAAAGAGGACAGGTGGAGGAGAGCACCGGCTGGGGTCGATGTCTTTTATAAATAAGCTAAAGCTAATCAGAGTTTATTCACAGGGCCAGGGCTCCAAGACATTGCCAGACTCAAAGCCTCAAGCCTGAAGCACGTCCCCAAGCCTGCCACAGAGGAGGCTGCACAGGCCGATCCCCTCCGGATTCAGCAGGCAGGCATGCTGCTTTGAAACGGGCTCCTGGCAAGGGCCGAGCTCCACCAGCTGAAACGGAGCCTCCACCAAGTGATGATCTCCAACGTTGTGCAAGAGGGAGACCCAAGAGCGCAGCTGCTTCCTCCCAACACTGCCTGCACGCCAAACTGTGGCCAAAACCTGCCCATGACACCAGCTGCACCCAGCAAGGGGCTCTGCTCATGGCAGGTCCCCAGAGCAGTGCTCTCTGTGCGGCTCACAGGGTGCTCTCCAGTGTGTTGTAGTTGTCCTTGAAGCTCTTCAGCTCCAGGAAGTGTTTGGCACGTTTGCTCTTCTGGCTGGAAGGCAGGTAGGTGACCTGGATGGTGGCGGGGTTGGAGACTTCAGGGGAGAGGGTGAGGTCCTTCGCTGCTGACTGGTGCTGCCGCTGGCTGCTGCCTCCCCGGGCCTTGGTCCTGCAGGGAGAGGAGAGGCACCATCACAGCTGCCGCCCTCCCCAGAGGAGCTGCTCGACCATCACGCCCTTCTGTCTGACACAAGGCAGATCTGCCCTCAGGACGACAGTGCTCACTGCGGTTTTGAAAACCAAGGCTGGCGCTTCTGCAGGTGCCAGGCCTGGAGCTCGTGCGAGGTCCCTGGCTCAAAGCAGCCAGCACAAGCAGGAACATGGACTGTGACCAAGTAACAAACCCAAAAAGAGACGGGCTGTAAGGAGTAAGTAAACCTGGAAGGACGGACAGGCGTAAACAGCCCATGTCTCAGAGGCTGAGTTTTGCCCCAAAACCCATCTCTGTTCATACCTCCACAACGGGCTGCTGGGACCCAAGAAGCCACCACTGCACCCCACCTACACACCCAGGCAGTAACACTTACATGTTTGCCAGCTCGTTCAGAGCATCCTGGTACTGCAGATATTCTGGTTTCCCAAAGACCTGGACGCAAACAGAAAAGACCGTGGAAAACCCAGTGAGGTTACAGTGCGACCTCACTCCAGCTGTCAGACTGGAGCGCAGGAACATCCCCCTGCGCTGCTGCAGGGGCCTGGCAACGCAGTGCTGGTGCTTACCCCAGTGCCGTAGCGGGCACTCTCATACCCATCCAGCAAGGTGTCGATCAAGGCTTTGCGGATGCCTTTGAAGGAGGTGCTGGAATTCCGCAGTTCCAGCAGATAGGCACAGAAGTTCTTCCCTATTAAAGACTTTGGGTACCGGCCCTCTGCGTGAAATGGGATTTCTGGAAAATAAAAAGGCACAAGACAACTGGCTGAAGCGCAGGTCAAAATGCTTGTGTTCACCTGCAGACAACATCAGAAGTTGGCAGCTAGTTAAACTTCCCACCAGATCTGTTGCCTCCTTTTGCTGACTGAGCAGAGAGGACCCTCAGGCCGCCAGCCCTGGGCAGGATAAGTGACTGCTATTCCCAAAAGAGGACCTTGAGCCTTATCACGAGGCTGCTGGCTGACGCACCGCACCCTTATTTCCTCCACACACGGTCTCTCTCCACCCTTGCCCTCCCACTCCTGCCCTGAGCTCCCTTACCAGATGTTCTGATCGCATCCAGCGCCTTCATCCGGTACAGGTAGTTATAGCAGCCTGGCAAAGAGAAAACCCAAACTGAAATCTCTGCAAAACTTGGCAGCAGGAGGGAGGTGGCAAAAGCGGACAGGAGCAGAGTGCAGAGACACCATCTCGTGTTGGCTCGCCAAACGCAATGTTGCAATGGGACAGCCAACAAGAGAGGCCAGTGACACAACTCGGCCCCAGGGAACGACCTGCTGTAGCGGGACAAGCACTGGACGGTGTCTCTGGTGGCCTCTGACTGACACGCAGTGAGAGAGGGTACCTTGTGTCTCCAGCTGCAGAAGCCTGCTGTCGTCCTCAGCTAACAGCCGGGGCTCGTACTTGATGTCTTGCACCCTTGACAGTCGAATGTCGATTTCTTCCTTTAAATCCTGCACAGCACGAAAAAAACCCAAAACAACATTTACAGAGTACTCGCTTTGTTTGTGGGATCACAAGGATGATAACAGTCATGTCCTGGGGGCCCTCTGAAATAAACCTGCTCCCTCTCTAGCTGCCCACCACCACACCGAGGTGGCAGCTCCTGGAATTGTCCCATTTTGAAGCAGACCCTGCCTGCCCCTCCGGGCACGGACGGGTCCGTGGGCGCAGGGGAGGGAGGGCACGTCCCCACCGCGGGCCCGTGCGCACCCACCTTGGGCGCGTGTTGTCCAACAGGCACGTGGGGGCCACGGCGGGACTTCATGGCGAAGCGCATGATCTGGCGTTTCACAAAGATGAACAGCAGCACGAAGACCTGGAGTGCCACAGCAGGGATGGGGGTTAGGCACACTGAGCGGCACTCCAGGGGGGTCTCACGGCCAGCCTGGGCCCAGCCCCACTGACACCCTGTTCCCAACCCCATGGACACCCCAGGCCGAGCAACCACGGGGCCCCACAGACCCCCCCAAACCTGGCAAGCACAAGGGTTCCTGTTCAGCCCATCAGGAGCCCCATGGACACCCAGGCCAGCCCCACAAACACCCCAGCCTCCAGAGAGGCTCCTACTCACGTCCTCTCCCTGCCCCACAGGCACCAGGACGCCATGGGAACTCCGGCCCAGCCCTGTGAGGGCCCCGAGTCTGGTTCTACGGGAGTTCCCCACGGATACCCTGGGACGTGTCTCACTGGAGCTTTATGGACACCTCGGGCCTGGTTTCATGGAGGCCCCGTGGACATCCCAGGCCCAACCCCACGGAAATCCCGGCACCA